GCCCGCTCATGGTATTGTCTTGAACTGCTCTTATCATCGTATGACAACCACCAACCTAACGACTCTGAACGTGGAACAACTCGTCTGGGAACCGATGGCACAGTCTGAGCATCTATAGCATCTAATGTATAGCATATGGGTTGGATGAAGAGATTCACCCGGCTTGGCAGTCAGGGCGTTTACAGGATCTAAGACGAATGAACTCTGGACTCGGTTTAGGCTGAGGAGTTCGGAAGGACGGAGTGAGCTCAAGAGCAGATCAGCATAACTCAGCTGTTACAGGTCCATCAAGGCGCAGACTCGTTGCATACGAAGAAACATGCACCATAGCTGACCCAACTCCTAGAAAGAGACAGGATGACTTCGACCCATTCCGAAGTCCGTTAACCACACAGACTGCGCACGCCATTTGATTAGGACCTTGACGGAATCGGACTCTGTGCTGAGGAAGATCACTCTTGTCGAAGAGCTCGCCATGTCTTCAAATGCTTTGATCAGCATAGAGCGATCGTCTCTCCATTAGATTCGGGTAAGTCTGAAAGGTTTCGTCGATCCCCAAGCCTGAGTTGGTGGTCTTGGCGAGCACCTCGTTGTGGGTTTTGGGTGAGCTCGTGAAGAACGTAATGTGTACGGGAGTTTGGTATACCAGATGAACGATAGATTGATTCGGGGGCATGAGTTAGGCAACAAGTTGTGTAAAGGCGGACGCGAAAGACGAATACTTTTATTGATTTAAGGTTATCGGTGTTGATGACACAGGTAAACATGCAAGGGTAGACATACAGCTTGCGTCGGGGACTATTGATCGACAGGAGCTGCAGTATCGACCGCATTCGCATTCCCTTGGCGTCGATCCAAGTACGCTACGTGCTGTTTGAGAAACCTGCAGTGCTGCACGGCACTTGCGAGTCGGTGATCAGACGACGTTGGTTGTGAACGGCTGAGAGCGTCATGAACCTAATGCATACAGAGGCTATGCCATCTGCCAGCCATGAAGTCATCGTCACTCCTCAAACGTCTCCAACAAGCTTGCAGATGCCACGGCCTTGCAAGACCCGCACCTAACGGGGCTCCCGTCGGGCTGGGCTGCGTCTTCTCAAACTGACTGTAAACATATCAGCCTCCGGAAGCTCGCCGGCGCACGTGCGCTTTCGGCCGTGCCGTAGCCGCAGTCAAGCAAGTCGATCGGTGAAGTCCCAGGGGCTCGGACTGGCACGTTCCTCTCGACTAGCTGCCAAGCTGCAGAAACAGAGCCCACATGTTGCGTGAAGTTTTCAAAAGTTCATGTACGCCTCACGGGTAGGCATCTCGTGACGGTGGCTGCGGGCAGTCGGTCCCGAGGTGTGGGAGATCTTGGTGGCATTCAATAGACAGCGACGCGCCTCGTTTATGCCTAGTTTAAGAATGGAGTTGATTCAAGCTTCTCGAATCTTTCAAAGACCCAGAGTTCTCTGGGATCAACGCAACAATGAACGAACCAACCGAGACCAAGGACGAGGTGAAGGATATCGTCGAGGGCGGACCGTCGAGAGCCAATTCGGGTGAGGGCCGCCGAGAAGTACTTCAACAGTCGCGCGCCGAGTCGGAGAAGAGCAAATCGACTCCATCGACAGACCAAGGAAGACGAAGCGAGCAGGAGAAGCAAGAAAAGGTCACTCAGTCGACTGAAGATGACTTCCCCGAGGGCGGCACGCGAGCATGGTCCGTGGCGGCCGGCACAGCAGCCATCTTGTTCTGCTCGCTGGGGTACACCAACTCGTTCGGCGTCTTCCAAGCGTACTACACGCGCCATCAGCTTTCGGATCATACACCCGACGACATATCATGGATCGGGTCAATACAGGCATTCTTGGTGTTTGCTTCTGGTGCTGTGGGAGGGCCAATCTTCGACCGCTATGGCGCATGGGTGAGTGAAGCTCAAGGCATAGGCGTATTGGAATCGTAATTGAGAGGATCCTAACCTTGACTAGGTCATTCGTCCCGCCGCGATTGTATACATATTCTCAGTCATGATGACGAGCTTATGCAACGAGTATTGGCAATTCATGCTCGCTCAAGGTGTGCTCAGCGGCATATCAAACGGGTTGATCATGTTTCCAGCAATGGCGGCCACGCCTCAATATTTCAAGAGGAGAAGAGGAGCAGCCATGGGTCTCGCCATCGCCGGCTCCTCGCTGGGTGCAGTCGTGTTTCCCATCGTTCTCTCAGAGCTGCTGGACACGCTGGGATTCGGATGGGCCGTTCGCATATGCGGCTTCATCATGATGCCGTTTCTCTTGTACTCGTCCGTCGCCGTCAGGGCTCGTCTTCCCCCGCGACGGAGCCAATTTTTCATCTGGAAAGCTTTCCAACAGCCACTGTTTCTGTGTCTCACTGGTGGTGTGTGCCTCATGTTTGTGGGCATGTTCATCCCCTTCTTTTACTTGCCGACGTTTGGTATTGATCACGGCTTGACCCCGTCGCTAGCGTCCTATTTGGTGGCCGTCATTAACGGTGCCTCGATCCCTGGCCGCATCATACCCGGCGTCTTGGGCGACAAATTCGGTCGCATTAACATCTTATTCACTGCGGGATTATTGACCGCCATCTCGATTCTCTGCTGGCCCAAGGCAGTGACTGAAGCTGGAATCATTGGCTTTGCCGCAGCGTATGGTCTCACTTCTGGCGCCATCATCTCAGGAGGGTCCGTGGTCTTCACCCTCTGCCCAAAGACGCCGAAGGATATCGGTACCTACATGGGAATGGGCATCGCATTCGCATCAATTGCTGTATTGATTGGGCCGCCTGTCAGCGGTGCGTTGCTCAATCGGTACCACGGTTATGACCAGATTTCCATTTTTGGCGGCGTCGTTTGCATGTTCGGGGCGGTTCTGACGCTTTGCGCAAAGCTGTTTACGACTGAGGGTCTTTTAGGATTTGTCTGAGAAGAAGCTTGAATGACGGCTAGTCAGCCTTAGTATTCAGAAAGCTGAGAGGCGGCATAACGGTTATTGAGAGAGGGAATTACTGCTATCGTGGCCTACCTACGTCATGAAGAGGTGGACGGGGCTGGATTAGTTTGACCGAGTCTGATGAATGAATACCCTCACCGAAACCTTACTAAGAACTAGTAATAAACACTCAGCATTCAACGCTTTTGCCGATTCGGCAGCGAGCCGGCCATTGATAAGTCGCAATTGCCCCACGCGGACCCCTCATCTAAACAACGGCAGTCCGTCCTAAACGATGCTCATTTCCCGTTGCCGCACCGCTTGGCCCTGGGAGAATCCAAGGATCATCACGTCCATCAGTGTTGCATTTAAACATTAAACAAGCAAACAAAGCCACCACCGAAACAGGGGCACCGAGCACAACGATTGGCGCACTTTTCTGAAGCGGAGAAGAAAGAACTCGGCTTCCTCCTTGGGCCCTGACTGGAACCCTCTCCCCGCCCCGGCAACTCTCGATCCTTCACCGTTCACGGTGTGTTTGCGGAGACGCGGAGCACACGGCTAGAGGATTGGATGACGTCTTCAAGGGTCTTGCGCCATGCCTACCGTCTTGGCAAAGGATATCTCCAAGATACCACCCGTATCTCCGTCCGGATGACCATCCAAGAAAATAGGTTCCGACCTGGCTTATTTGTAATCATTAGACGCGTGGAACGGGGAGAAGCTTAAATCTTAAAAAGATGTTGGGCAATCCCGTCCCGTCCCATAGTTTGGTCCATCCGGTCTCCGTCCGCCGTGTTTTGTGATCGACTTACCTCCAGCCCAAAACCTTCAAGATGCTCAGCAAAACTATTGTCGCCGCCCTTCTGGGCTTCGTATCTCTAACCAATGCTGCTAAGAAGTGCCCCGTTGCCGATGTTTCCGCCATTGCCCACACTGGCACCCCAATTGGCGAGGAGGTCAAGTACAATGGGCGTGAGTCTTGTCAATCTCATCGCGACGTCTATCTGGCGCACAAGCTGACGCGATTCGTATGCAGTGACCCAATATGTCACCAAGCCAAGCACCCGTGGTAACAGGACTGTTGGAGTCCTCTATCTGACCGACGTTTTCGGGATTCAGCTCGCGCAAAACAAGCTGTGAGTATCTTATACCAGCCATCGACCATGGGCCGCTATATGGCACTACCGTGCCAATCCCGGTGCTAACGCAAACGGCCAGCCTGTCCGACAGCTTTGCCCGCGCCGGTTACATCTCCGTCGCGCCGGACCTGTTCAACGGCAGCCCGGCTCCGAACGACATCAACATCCCCGGCTTCAACACGACGGCATTCCTTGCGCAGCACGGGCCCAACGTCACTGACCCGATCATCGCCAACTCCATCAAGTACCTGCGCGAGGAACTTGGCGTGAGCAAGGTCGCCGTCACGGGATACTGCTTCGGAGGCCGCTACTCTTTCCGCGTCCTCGCCGAGGGCAAGGGCGCCGATGTCGGCTTCGCCGCGCACCCGAGTCTTCTTACCGATGAGGAGATTACGGCCATCACTGGCCCCGCGAGTGTTGCTGCCGCCGGTACGTTATAATCCCGCTCCCTCTCTTCCCAGGAGGGGGTACCTGCAGAAGGGTACCTGAACTGTTCCTTGGTATTGACAATGTCGCTGTAGAAACTGATAACCTCATGTCACCCGCTCGTCGTGCCGAGGTCGAGGCCCTCCTCAGCGAGACTGGCCAGCCCTTCTCCCTCGCTGTGTATGGTGGTACCTCGCATGGATTCGGCGTTCGCGCCAATATTTCGGACCCTAGACAGAAGTTCGGCAAGGAGGAGGCTTTCTTCCAGGCTGTTCGCTTCTTTGACACCTGGGCTTGATCGAGCCTACAATTCTTGTACATATTTGAAAAATTTGCTCTCCAAACGCGATATCGACTGTACTGATTGCTTTCAACGATTGAATTCCAACAGTCACCCGCGTTTCAAAGGCTTTGTCAATGTTGTCTGTACGGTGAGGTGTGAATTCGTTTTCGTCTATTCGTCTGGAAATTTCGCGAATCGTAATATGAAGTCCAATCGTTCGTCTCATCGTCTGTATCTGCGCAGGGAGGTAAAATCGACATGTTAGCGGTGATCATGAGGTTACTTGAGAGAGAGCTGATTCGGATCCGCTCCAAGGAGATGTTTCGAGAGCCTCGCCAGGAAACGTCGTTGAATGTGAGAACAAACAGCTCATCGGCACCATGGCCACGCTCGCTGTAAGCAGCAGGCGTTGTAAATATTCTCTGCCCAAGGAGATGTATAGATGGGCACGGAACTTCCGAGAACAACTTGGTAAGTTTACCATCGTGAAGATTCATCGGCGTGACTGCAGAATCGGAGAAGCTAAGAATGGTTAATTTGACCCGCCAGGGAACATACACCTCGCTTTCCATAGTCGTAGTTCCACGCGTCGGACGCGTCTAGACCTCTTCCTCATCCGACAATTGCCGCCCGCGGCGTCAATAAGCATCATTAAACTTTTTATCCCTTTCAACGTCATGACCATCATGTGGCATTTTCTTTTGGAAAGAAAAGCTAGGATCCAATGACATCAGGGAACCCCCTAGCTGCAGCCTGCCGACAAATTCTCCGGGGGATAATGGGCTACGACGGTAGTAACGAGCCTAAGCAGCGCGTCAAGCAGTGTTTAAAACTGGCGGCAGAGTCATAATCAGCCTTACCATTCCCACTTTCCGCTAGGTGTTATCCCTAGAAAAGTACAGCTAGGTCGGATCACTTAAGCTTCCAGGACGATCGCACATTCGCAAAACCCCCACTAGTCGTAGCACCAGACCAGGCCGGCGCACCCACCTACCTCGGTTTCGGTTTCGGGGTTTGAGGTACAACCCGTCTGTTCCTGTTTTGATCGTTTCAGATCGCTCACACTCTGACTCTACAGCTCATTTGTGTTCCTAGTAGGTTCTTTACGAAGTAGTTGAATATGCCTTACCTTCAATGCTAATGAGTTCTATCCTAAGTAGGTAGGTCGAACGAATTGTAGTCGCCAAGAAATTTACGGGCCATTGAAGCCCGCAATGCGCAATGCGCTCTGCCGCCGCTCGGCCGAAACCTTTAGGCTTTTGGTGATCGGCTCGTTAGACTTTCGAGTCTAACAGATGTAGCTGGACGGATAACCGGGTAGATGATGACAGAAAAGCTGTCACATGACGGTGGCATGCTGGCGGCACCCTCAAGTTGTAGCATAGGACTGGATCATCGCATACGGCTCGTACGGCCTGTGGTAGCCCTGACTGTCTAGACTCTGCTCTCAAGTCTGAAGAGGTAGTGGCACCTCTGACGAGGCAGTTCGAGGCATGAGCGGAATATGGTAATCTAAGTTTTTGTTCTTGAATTTATTTAGCTGATGACTAAAGTTGTATACTCCTGTCGCTTATGAATGCCAAAGGCCATTTGACCATTTCTTTCCACTCTGGATCCAAGTCTGATACTATTGCCCGCGCCGAGTTGATGCCCCATCCCTGCATGAACCACGTGGTAGCTTCCGTTGAGCGTACAACGACTGAGTAGTAAGCCAGCAGAGTTAGAGCTGCAGGGTCGCGGTTCCGCAGCAGCTGTAGGTACTCTTCTGTGAGGTTAATAGGCCATGTCAAGGCCACCCGCAGCTCTGGGAACGCCGTTGTTTCGACGGCGTGCATGATCCATCCGAGAAAGACGTCAATCTCCTTGCTGACGATGGCTTTGGTTGGTTCATCGGCGCTGGATGTCTTTAAACTTATTTGGAGGTTCTCGAGATGCTGTGTGACTGCCTCTAACAAAGGCGTCGAGGCGGGAGTGACCACCTCTGTGAAGAAGTTCCTAAATGGCCCGGTCTGAATTGAGGGCTGGAATGATGATAGGATGTGGCTCATTCCTCTAACGAGTAAGAACACATCTAGTACATCGTCGACTGTCGGCGCCTCTTGTGAATGAGGCGCTCCCCTTTGATACGGGAAGGTAGAGTATGCGTTGAGCAGCAGTAATGACGACGCCGCGAACAGAGCGTGGCAGTTTTCTGTCGTGATGTTCATGAGTGACTCCCGCATGCCGGCTATCGCATCACTCTGATGTTGTGAGGCATGCAAAGCATAAGACTCGCGCTGCTCCGGGTGCAGATAACCCAGATGTAAAGCACCAATGGCGAGGATCTCGTGCATTAGGAACATGTACGTCAGACCGAGCTTTGGTACTTCAAACTGCCAGATGCTGCTCACGTCCGATGACCTGGGCATCGTGAGACTGGTAGCCGTGGAGTAGTGGTGCATCAGCTCGAGATCTGTGATCCACTTGCTCAAATGAACCGGTTCCACGGGCTCGGTTGAGAACTTGACAAAGTAGGGAAACGGGTCGGGGCTCGAGGCGGCGATAGAGGACCTCCTATTTCCGATGGATGAGCCCCGGTCGCTGACGAAGTCTGCTGGTAGATTGAGGGTGGCCTCAAGCAGACTCGGCGGCGTCAATGAATGGTCTATCGGGCTGATTGATGGCGTTTGCGTCTTGCGGCTGCCGCTGGAGCCCTTCCGCGATGAGCTCCTCCGTTGGAAACTCGGTACTCTGGAGAGTCCTGCCGCGTTAGAATTGGATGTCGGCTCCCAGCTCATGTTGTCACCGGAGCCTCCGTCCACTGAGCCCTCAAGAAGACTGCACTGGGTGTTGTGCCTGATACAGGCGCCACACGGCTTGTTCTCATCGCACTGGGTGTTAAAGTGTCAGCCGGGCCGCGTTCAATATACAGGATGAATTGTGAGTGGTAGAGAGGTTGATGAGTGTGCATGTGTATGTGTGTGGATGAATGAATGAAGGGTGGTAAGTACTTTTACACGACGCTGTTTGCACCTTGCACAGCCACCGCGAGACTTCTTGTACCCTAGGCGCGGCATCTTGCAGCAAGCGGAATAAGCAGCCCTTTTACTCTTCCTTCTCAGACCTGGGCTGTTATCTCAGATTGGCGCAAAGGGACAACAGCTGCCGTAACTTCCCCGACCTCGCGTCCGATGAAGAGTGGGCAGGCTGGACCCCAGGCAGGCGAGCGAAGTGCCTTTGGGCTGCCAGATGAGAGAACCCTCACAGCTTTGGGGAGACACCTAGACCTCAAGCCCCCTTGCTACAGAAATCCGATGAGAGCGATGAGCAGGGGAAGGAGTCGGCAATCTGACGAATCGGTTGAGTACCAGTGACGAGATGTCAGCAAGATGTGGCTCTTCTTCACTTCAAGAGCGGCGCGGTCCGCTAAAGGTACCGTAGACAACGATCGTTGGGTGTGTTGTTGAAAGTCTCGACAAGCAGGTCGAGGAGACCGAAAGCGAATATGTGGGGTTGAGAGGATGGATGGATGGTTGGTTGGTGGGTGGTGAATGGTAAATGGGTTGGGACTGAAAGAGGAGAGGCAAGTCGGGGAGATGAGTGCCGGGGCGGAGATGGTCTGTGGTATTTTCTGCAGCGGAATGGCTGAGGTAATGGTTTCGTGTGTAGACAGTAGCGTGAATAAGTGATGGATGTAGTGTAAGGTAGTGTACTAAGGTAAGGTGAGTACGAGTAGTGGTGATGTGATGTATCTATGGTTCAGTCCGTCGTCGGGGAGGAAGCTTTCTGCTGGCGCGACGAAGCCGTAGTTGAGTTCAATTCCGAATGGGGCCGGTTTTGAACATCCGCCCAGGAACGAAGCGCGGAGCAAGCCACTCGAGTTATATCGTGAAGGGAGACGCGAGCGAAGCAGTGACCAGCGACCTTGACGGGGAAGATGGTTCTTGGGATTCTCGGAGTGACTGGGAGTGAGTCTGCCCCGTCCCGTGCTGGGCAGCGCCGGGGCGGGTATTGAAGAAAAGCTGGCCCCAAACTGCGCCTTGCTGACGAGTCAAGCCGAAGCACGGGTGGGTGCGTCAGAAACACAATAACATAGCGGCTCGTACGGATCTGGAATGGCGTGTGCGTGGAGAAAGTGAAACGAACAAGGCCGTATGCTGCCCGTTCCTATTGGAGCCTAGCCCTGTTGTTGACTCTCGAGTGTAAAGATTGAAGGGGAGGGGATGGGCAGGATTGTAAAGAAGCAAGAGTGGTGTGTGTCGGTGTGTACGGTTGCGTTTCGTCTAAGCTATCATCAGGCCGAAGGGCTCTTCCTATGTGGTGCCTGTGGTCGTGGTGGTGGCTCAGGCTCCGGCTCAGGCTCTGGGGTGCCACGAGAGGGGCGGTACTCTAATAAAGATTCAACACCTCTCTCGAGATCCATGTTCGCTAAATGACGATCCACGTCGGGTTGAGGGCTCCTGATCCTGCCCGTTGGAAGCACTAGTAAGGAACTACTACTAAGTAGGAGGTATCTCTAGACATGCAGACCTGAATATCACTCATGTGGCCAAGAGCCACGGCATCAAGACGTCAATTCATCCACCAAGCCTCCATCGACGTCGGCATGCGTTGCGTGGAGTGGCATACCCAAATACATGTATTGGGTGGGCAACGCAACACAGGCAATACGTGTATGGCTGGGATCCTCTGCGCCGCTCAACCACTCAACATCCACGCAGATGAGATAAGTCAGTGTGGCAGCATAGCATTCTGTCACCAAGGTTCCTACCAAGGTTCCTCCCAAAATTATCCTCCCGTCTTGGCCAGTGCCCATGCCATCACGCCGTGATCCCGGCGACGAGATTTGTGTTAGGCTTCCGGGGTTAACGGGCAGGACGGGGCCTTGCCATGCCCCTTTACCTCCATGAACCCTAAGCTCCCGCTACTACCCGGTCCCCTGTGTCCATCAATCCAAATCTTTCTTGACGGCTGTCAGCCCGGCAGTAAGGCACACTTGCCATCCCTCCCTTTTCCCCCTTCGTACCTTACCTGTTGCTACGGATGGCCACAACCTTTCCGGGGGCGTTACAGACTACTATCTGTAAGGCTGCATTCCACCTCGCCGAGTTATACCCCAAACGAGATCCATCGAGGGCATAAAACGGCCCAATGTCCCATTCTACCGGCAAGGACGTGCGCTCAAAGGAAATCAGCTCATCTACAATCGTGGGGCGCTAGCTAAGCATTTTTTCGTGGCGCGAGCCCACTAGCCACGGGGCCGGAGAGTATCGATGAAACCGAAACCGAGCGAACCCTGAAAATGTCTTCTAGAAGAACAATGATCTTCTGTGCCCTGGTGTCATTCCTCACCTGTATCCATTTGATCGCAAGCACCACAGCCCCACGGACTCGCGGGTTATTATCTTACAGAGATCGAAATCTCTACCCCTAGCTAGACTCTAAAGTCCATGCATATTTCCGGGTTTGTAGTCTCGTGGCTTGGCTTCGGAAACTGATGTCTTTGGTCATGTCGTGTTCGTCGCGTTCGTCGCATCCGTCGTGTTCGTTGTCGTATGACGTTCGAGACCGGTCGGTCCTGTCATTCTTGGGCGATAAAGTGGCTGAGCCACCCGAAAAATCTCGTACATCGGGTATGACGGATACAATCTGATGATTGCAAAGATTGGACATCCTGTCGTTCAACAGCCAAACATGTTTGGATCTGTATCAACATGATTCTTCTGCTCGCTCGCTCACTCTAGCTCGCTCTCGACTGGTTGGGAGTTTTTCGGATCTCTCATGGCAATGTCAGTCAGTTCAGACCACCAACATTCTCGCGGAAACAGTCCCTTGTCCTGAAACCGCCATCCTGGTTTCCATGTTCCTCCAACGTCGTTTAGGCCCCAGATTAAGCGCGATGGAACGATTCATCCCGCGCAAGGACTCCTCCGGGATCGACGAAGCGTTAAAAGCTTACTTTTGATCCCGCCCACCACCCGCCGCGGCGCCCAGGTTTCTGAAAGGCCCCTTCGTCGGCCAAGTCGCCTGCTGGCGTCTACAGAGTATGACTGCCGCATCGAATCTCACACAAACATGGGACGTAGCGGCTCTCACTTGTTCGGACCGGAAATGCAGGTGTCAGATGTCACTGCCGAGAACCTGTGTCAATGAAAAGACCTATAATAGCGACGGCAGCGATTAGATCTTCCCGGCTTTAGGATTGCGATCCGACTAACTTCGCTACAAAAAGGTTCCGTTGACTAGAGCTCGGATCGTGACCGAGACTTCAGTGGAGCCTACTCTATTTGCCAATCGTCGAGGGCATAGTCCCTCTACCTTATACAACACCGCTCCTGACTTATACATAGGGTCCAAAGGGATCACCGGACGATCTGGTCTCGGGGCAGAATGCCATCAGACAAGGGGTCAAACAACCCGAGTGGATGGATTTGCCCCTCTACTTCATCCCTTTAGCCTCAGCCCTTTGTAAGAAACGGCTATCCAGACTGCACGTCTCAGATTGTGTATCTAAACCACGGCACATTATCTGCGAGCTCAGCTTCCAGCTCCTTTTGCTCTGCTGTCAACTCTTGCACTTCAACCTCACTAGCAACTTGGTCTCTGCGGGCGTTCTCCCTTCTGCACCATGTAGTCATGAACATCGTCAAAAAGAAGGCCATGCTAGTGAAGGTTAGCACGCGTCATCACTGGCCAAAGTGTCATTATGGTTCTCCCTCACCTCACAAAGCCAATAAGAATGCTGTGTCCGGTAGTGTAGCGGGGTCCATCCCGGCTCAGGTATACATAAGACGCGATGATGCCGCCGCAGTTTCCACCCATGACTTGCATCGCAATACCAGTCCCCCGCTTCAGACTTCCGCCGATGTTGCTACTGTTCCAGGCAAGACCAAGTGGGATTTGAGGATAGATGCCTTAGTCATATCAGGTTAGCACGTAGGTAGACTTTCACCGTATCACAGGTCATGGGTGTAGAAGCTTACCGATCGCGGCGAAAATAGTGCCAGCGTATTGTGCAGAAGACTTGCTAGTACCCACTAGGAGACCGAAGCCCAGGATTCCTACCAACTGGAAGCCCATCAGGAAGATGCCACGCTGTCTCACGCGATCCGCATACCAACTGGCGGCGATCGTGAAGATACAAGCGAAGCAATACGGCGGCACCGACATCAATTGAGCGGTGTTCGAGGTGTAGCCCATGTTCTTGATGATGGTTGGCAGGAACAGGGCAATCGAGTAGATTGGACAGAAACCCGCCATGCAGATGAGCATGTGGATGTAGATCTTCCAATCCTTGATGGCCTGCCAGACATACTTGATGTTGAACTCGTTGGACAAGTGGCCTGAGTCCACTTGCAGTCTACGCTGGACTTCAGATCGCTCCTTTTCTGAAAGGAATTGTGCTCTATTAATGATGACGGTCAGTTGATACTCCTTGTATAGCTTTGCCTGAGTTATCAACTTACGTGGCAGGATAGTCGTAGATTGCCCAGTACGCAGTGAAAGACACCAAGATACTCAGGAGACCCTCGAGGATGAAGATCCATGCCCAGGCCGAGAGACCGCCTACTCCATGCATCTCTGCAATTCCTCGCGCGAGAATACCCCCAAAAGCACCGGCGAGAGTGGCTGCGGAGAAGAAGAGGGCCATTCTGAAGCCACATTCGTTTCTACAGTACCTGTCCAAATCCATGTCAGAGTTTCATGCACACGAACGGCGTGTACATTGGAGCACCAGAGGAGAGAGCCTTACCATTGCGTGATGTAGTAGTTGACACCGGGAAAAAGACCACCCTCGAAAACTCCGAGAAAAACGCGAGTCGCCATAAGCCCTGAGTAGTCCTTCACGAATCCTTGTCCGATCATCGACGCAGACCAGCAAACCATGATGAATGTCAGCCAGATCGACGGCCGAAGACGCTTCATCATCATGTTGCTCGGGATCTCGGCCGCGATGTAAAACGGGAAGAGAATGGCAAGGCAGTCGTTGTACTGAATGCCCTTCAGTTTGAGGTCCTGCTCCAAGTGGTCCAGCCTAGCGTTTCCAATGTTCGTCCTGTCGAGGAAGCAGAGCCTTGATCCAGGTTAGTATCAGTGTCGCATGGCCGGATGCTGTGGTGGCATTGGCGCAATGTCTGTGCGACGACTCACAGGTAGATCAAACTCATAAATGGAATGATGTGCCAGTCTAGCTTCCTCAAGAGCTTCTTAGTCGCATGTTGGTCGAAGGGCTGCGACTCGCCGACTTCGATCGATATGGTGCGAGCGTGTTTTTCTGATACTTGGGCGCTGTCGGACTCCATTTTGACAATTGACTTGCTCAAAACCAGGACAGAAAACCGGGGAAACCAGATCAGACGAACTTCTGGGGCAGACGACTTGGCTTTGCGGGGGAGGATGCGATTGCCGAAGTCAAGCTTTTAACTCCATCTCGAACCCTCACCAAGGATTTAAACCTCCCTGTCAGCACGTCTTATCAAAGCCCTAACGATATTGCCACCGCCAGCAGGGCAAGCAGCACGCAGGCTGACTGGAACTAGTCCTGGAAGGATTCATAAATGGAACATGCAGGTAAGACAGGAGGTTGGACACGCACTCGGGTTTCTGGCCAATTGGTCTGGACCAGCAGGCCTGCATGCATCTTGCAAAGGTTAAAGGCAGATGGGAGAGGGATTTCACTTGTGACCGCTGCGGGCCGAGTACCAATGAATCAACACCCGCGAGATCTGTTGTAACCTTCCCAAAGAAGCGATGAGACTGGGGTGACATCGGGGTTCTCGTTTCCTATATCTGGTTACCGTCGGTCTGGTTTTTCTGTCCTGCGACACAAGAGAACGCCCAACGGACAAATCGTCGCTTACCGCCGAGACAAGATAGGCGTGCTCATCACTCTGCCAAAAGGGCCAATTGCTGATGGGCGGATGCACGTCGGAATGCATGGTGATGAATAAGAAATGTGTTGGGCTGAGGGACGAGGCCTCGATACCTCGGCTGGCCGCAGAAGGGAGAGATTAAAGGGACACTGTTAGGCTTCTAACTGGACACGTGGAAAATCAGCCGTAAGACCACGTATTCCACAATAGGGGGCTTTAGTCGACGTGCATATCAAGGTACGGAAGGCACCCTGGTGTTCATCGGCACACAAATCCGGAAGATGCATCATTGTCAGCGATAACATTATCTTTGACCTTGTTATACACGAGAGTACCTGCATCATCCTATCTTAGGAAAAGATGACAATTTCAGATTCATTTTGGCTCTCAGAAGATTATCCCAGTGACTATTTCTTCCTTCTCAATCGCTCGTCTACGAGATGATTTAATCGTATGCATGCGAGTTCTTAGAATCTCAGGAAATTAAGCAAGGCATACATACAATTCTGTTCCTGCTCAATATCGAGGTTCCGAGGTTCTCAGGCGTTGAATTGAGTTACAGTCCACTTCAAGAAAGCAATTCGCTGAGGGTAGTCTATTTCGTTAGCATCACAATCCTATAGAAGATGCGATACCCTTTCATCCCACAAGACGTGAACTCTTTGCAATACAATCACTCGCCTGTGACGCGCTCATGTCATGACCTATGAACTCAACTTCGTTGGCGGGGTTAGCGCCGAATGTAGATGATTATACACACTGGTAACAATACCGTAGATGCTCCCCCAGGTCGTAGTCAAGGCAGCCATTACCCATACACCCTGGTTTCTGGTGCCGATCTTTCGATCATGGCGACTCTACAGGACATGGTTCCAGTCACGCAGGTGGTTTTGTGCTTCAAGATTGATAAATACTTGACGACTCTTATGTATTGTTCGCTCAATTCTTCCTGGTTCTATTGCCATCAGCCAGCATGCCTCGAATCAAGGACATCCAGAACAGTCTGCAACATCATACCAAAACACGTCACGGTAGTCCTCTACTCTTTCTCAGCGAGTTAGTTGCTTAACGTCGAACCCTGTATTCCTCACAGTTCGGAATCCGATGATATATGCCTCTCAAATAGGTCTCCAAGCCAAGAAAGTGGCGAGATTGGTCCTGATCAATGTATGGCCGTACTAAGGGCTAGAAAGTACAGTTCAGTTGAACGGACTTCTTCATGGTTGACTGCGAGCATGTCAACGAGGCTTGGTCTTTGTACAGCTCTACACCGCTAGAGAGAGGCGACTGAATTCATGTTCACTACGTAGAGGCAGCCTTAGACTTTCTTTTTCTTTTCTTTTTTTTCTTTTTTTTTGGTAGTGTAGCTCGCTAGAGTTCAACTCCGCCCTAGCCAAAGCACAAGCTCTGAGATACTTTATCTAAATCTGGACTTTGACTTCTGGAAGCCGAATGCTTCGTGAATGTCTTTCTCATGATCCTTTTCCCGAAGGACTCATAGACGGAAAGCAAGTGGTTCGCACTGGCCCGACTGTAGTACCGGTGAAAAGGGGGCTCAATACTAGTCGCACCGAGCCAAGTCTTGTCTGCCTGACGTCAGATGAAGCTCCTGTAGCCTCCTGTGTATTTCACCAAAGACACCATATGTGATATTAGTAAATTAATCTTAGACATCAGACAAGACAGCAGCCTTCTTCGGGTCAACATCCTGTGTACTGCTGCCGTTTTGATCCGGCGGCAGTGGACTATCGTTTCATTCGGCGGGTTGAGGACTCACGGCGGAGCCATCGATGGGGGAGCTGATTTTCATAGCAAAGTCTACCCACATTCATGTTCCTTGCTGGCGACTAGCTCTTCTTCAAAGTGAGTCATGATGATGGCTTCGCACAGCAACCCAAGAATGATGGTTCCCCGTTGCAGGGGCAACTTGTTCAGAGCCATGATACGTGGACGTTCGGCGATAAAATAAGAATTGCGATAAGCGCCTAATTCAGGATGCTCTATCATACATGCTTGTCAATCTGATATAGATCATAATAGTACGTGATTGACGGTATCAAATTGAAGAGGACCATGATATGGACCGTCATACTTTCATCAAATGCAGGCGGTAGTGAGGCAGGTTAGCAATTGCCTGATTTACTCAATTAATTCTTGTTCCCATTCAGATGATTCTAGTCCTTACAAATGAAGCGCAAAGATACATTCCGCGTTCTAGCTGTGAACGTCACTCAGACGCTCATCATGACTACTACCTACGTACTTGGCATTCGCAACTTTGCAGAAACGAACCCATCTCATTACCTGGCACATGTCGAGATACAGCTCTCCCAAGGAACGATGATGAGATTGTAAAAGGTCTGCTGTATCAATAGCGATTGATGCGACTAGGAGAAAATTCCAGTCCCAACTGAGTCCATTCGAATTTCACCGACATGCACTTGATGCCTCCTTTAAACGCTGGCATCCGTCTCTTAATTCCACAGAGGCGATACTCTCTCACGGTCATCTAATCACTTCTGAACCGTAAACATGTCTATGATTGTCTCGTATCTGAGTTGTGGAACTGGTCAATTCAATCGTCAACGTCATTCGGACTGATGCAGATCACATCAACCGATATTGGCGCAACGAATCTGTGGATTTATGAGCACATGGCGCAATCGGCGAATTACTACTGATTCAAGGCATCTTAACATAATTGTTCCGCTGCTGGCCATGCACGACTCATCTTCATCGTCAAGGTACATGAGAACCTGTTCCACGTGCAGGAAAGACGTAGTCGTGAGGAGCCTCGGGGCTTAATGACTCGAAACCCACCTGGAAACCCGCCTCCGAACCCGCCTCCAGGACGCTCGATTCACCGCCTGGTCTGACACTGAGAACCTGGGTGCTTCCCGCCAGCGGGAGAGGTCCCTAGAGTGGATTCGGCATGATAGGAGTGCATCGCTGGGGAAAAGCCCGGTCAATTGCAGTGGTGATTTAACAAATCAAGGTCATGGCGGGAAAAGGCACGCACTTAAACACCATGGGGACGAAGATAATGCTATCCTGCCTTCTTGTCACATCATCTGTCAGATTGCGGATATGACCGATAGGGTTACGCAAGTGTCAAATCTTCATCTCCTGCAGCTTCCGACGTCGTTGCTACGCTATCGGCGTGGGAGAGCTGCGGCGTGGCGGCACAGTGCCAAGATTGGTTTCGCTTGGCTATCCTCTCACGATTATTATGCAACGGCTGTCTCTTTCATTAGATCAATCAATTGCGCTGGATGAAGGTTTACACATTTATCGGTAGCAAGCGTATCTTGATCCCTCGGCTGAAGTCTGTCCTTCATAAGTCAATTAATTATTATTCCGCCTGGGCGAGTTTTCATTTTACCAGAAACAGCGAGCATTTCCCAAGACCAAACATTGTGCAACCCCGGGTTGGCTAAGGTTAATGACTTGCCTGAGCTAGCAAACTCTCACGATCGCAACGCCAGGTAAGGCAAGCCAAGCCTAGAGGTAGGCGCAAGCTGAGTGCTAATTACTGCTAAGGATTGGGAAGCTCAATCCAGTGCACGAAAGATAAAGGCCTCTACAGCTGGGAACGGCCCTTGCCTCAAAGTCTAAATGCAAAATAGGCATGCGGCAGCACGTCTTCGCCATGGGTTTGGAGCACGCTAAGCATCCGTTGTCACACCGGTGTGCGGCATGTGGCCATCCCATGGTAGAGGTCCCGGCCGAAGAAGTCCGGAGTACGCGGAAGGCCGACCAACGGTATCTGTCTCTTCCATCACACCTTACGATGATGAGCTAAAGCTTGGTTCCCGAATCCCTTGATTACTCCAGGTAATCTGCAGCACTTGGCGTGGCTTGAGGCGGGCGCTTGACTCAGGGAACACCTCGTTAGAGAAGCGCGGCTGTGGCGTTAGCGTAACTGGGCCAATTCACGCCGAACCGAGCTCCTCGTTCTCGTGGTTCCGCAAGGTCGCACCATCGCACATGACCTTTGAGAAGCTCAATATTGAAGGAAATGATATGAATTGTCATATTTGCGGGTGTGGCTGCGGATAGCTCAATCAACATCCCGCCTCCGGGTTACGTCAACATCCTGATTCTTTATCGCTTCCTCTTCAAAGTCCGGGCCCGCGTTTACGACTATCGCGTGGGGACTTTGACGTGATTCAACTCAATTGCTCCACAACCAACCCCATGTGAGGGCATCAGCGCGCGCGGACTTGAATCGCTCGCGCTCTACACGTGGTTAGCCACATGGAACCGAAATGTGATAGCGGGCGGGGTGTTTGTCAACTCGTGCGGGTGCATGAGGCAAAGGCAGGGCTGCTTGCGCCAGAGTGGATAGGTTGATAGAGTACCGCTTGCAGCAAACCGCCAAAAACCACTACGATATTTGAGTTTCTTTATATTGATCAAGCAATATGATCTGCCCACCCGTTTCTCAGTGACCCAGAGAGATGGCCGGAAAGGTTGCACGGGCTCACTAGACGACATGTCAACTTGAAACCCTGACCCAGCGGACATCGGACGAACCAATGGACCTCGTTGCCGGCACCAGGGTTCATGATTCAGACTTGGATTCACCCCGCCCACCATAGTGGTCGCTCATGCCGAATTAAGCTGCGAGGCTCATAGCGTTTTGCCTTGTTCGGAGACTATTGCAACCCCAACTCAAGAACACTCGCGTGGGTCGAATCAATATCAGACGCTTTGCATGCATGTGTAGTATTTCTGGGCTCTCTGCCAAGATGCAGATGACAGACTCGCAGGGCTCGCGTACATGATAACCTAGTCGGAAATAGACATTGACCAACGGTTTGCGGATATCCAAGGTCATTCGAATCTTGAATCCGGGCTGTCAAGTCCGTCCGAAGCACATGGATTCAACATACTTATCTCAAGGCCAAGCTCTCTGGTTCGACTTCCGTCTAATGCGTGCTTCCACAAGACGCCGAAAGCCGCATTTAGGAACGATGCCCCGAGTCTCCCGAGACGTATATTCGGGCTGGATAACATTCTTCAGATAAACAAGACCTCGATAGGTCCCAGTGTTCTGGTTCTTCCACGTTTCACCTAACCATGAAGAACCACGTGCGATGGCTCCTTGCGCTGCTACCTTGCGTAGCAGGTACCATCCTCGGCCAAGACAGCACCAATGCAGCAACTTCTCCCTTGGAGCTCATGTCTCAGATCCCTCAATGCGCCGTAAGTGTCGATACCTTCAATCTCTAGTCAACTTCATCTCACCGTATGGCAGGTCTCTTGTGTTACGACAGCATTCTTCAGTTCAGGCTGCGGGCTGGACAACATCGCCTCATGTGTTTGCACCAACGTCACCCTCCTAGATGGACTATCCGGATGCGTGCAAACATCTTGTACATGGCAAGATCAGCTTTGTGAGTTTCCAGCCTGACGTACCTAGCCTGGGTTTTACTGACGGCTTCTAGCATTGTCTTATATGACAGATGACCTGTGCCGTCCTTTCCCCCACCCATCTCGAGACACCGAAATCAAGCTGGTTGTGGCGGTGTTGGCCGTGATAACCTTTCCAATTGTAATTTTGAGACTGGTATCAAGATGGATCATAGCAAGCCGCTTGGAACTTGACGACTGGATGACCATAGTCACCGCCGTAAGTTGATTGATGCCTCAACTCTACTTTCACTAGTCCTCGGCGACTGATGCTTATTTCAGGCCATACTAGCCACCACCCTTGGTTGCGTTGTTGCGAGTGAGTATTTGATGCTGATTCCTTCATTCCTTTTGGTTCAACTCATTTACTGACTTTCCAAAGCCGCTGATCTTGGCTTCGGGCTTCATTACTGGAACGTGAACCCAGAAAATGCCCAGAAGATCCTTCAAGTGAGTCAGACATGAAGGCTGGAATCTTCGTACATCTACTAAGGTCATTGTGACTAATGGATTCATCCTAGCTCTACTACGCCGTGCAAATGCTTTACGTTGTCGTCCTGATTTTGGCGAAGCTGTCCATTATTGCCCTTTTCGCTCGTGTATTCCCCGACCGCAAGTTTCAAATCATCAACAAATTGGTGTTTGTGTTCCTCGTTGGCCACGGACTGGTCTTTCTCTTTGTCATCATGTTCGAATGCACGCCCATCGCTGGAATCTGGGACCGAACTATTGAGCGGAAATGCGTCAACGTCAACGCCGTTGCTATGGCCAGCGCGATTCTCAGCATCGTTGAGGATATCGTCATTTTTGCTATGCCCATCCAGCAGCTCAGCAGGCTCCAATTGGGTTTCAAAAAGAAAATTGCGGTTGGCTTCATGTTGAGTCTTGGATCATTGTGAGTATTAACGCTGCATTGGAACTTTGAGTCTTTCAGCTAACTCATATCTCTTCCAGCGCATGCATCACTTCAATTGTGCGATTGCGCTGGCTCGTATTGTTTGCTGAGTCTTATGACACCACATGTAAGTCCAGGCGCTAGACTACATCCCAAGCAGAGGACTGACATAGCCAGGGGATAACGTCGATGTGGTGACATGGAGCATGGCCGAGATCTCGTGCGCCTTGATGTGCGGTAGTCTTCCTGCATTACGACCTCTTCTCAAGAAGATACCCGGACTTCTCACGACTATCCGAGGCACACGCCCGACGGTTGAAGTCAAGGAAACTTTTAACAGGGCAAGCAGCCGGCTTTCATTCGGAGACAAGAAGCCTGTCGCCCCAGCTCCCGTCATCACATCACGACACCGATCGGTACCATCCCCCGAGCCCTCGCCTTCAGAGGACTCATTCATGATCAAGGTTCACATTGCGGAGCATCTCGATCCGAGGATGAAGCCACTGCCACCAGCGCCATTACAGCCGCTTAGTTACCAGCCTCCGTGGAGAGATAGCGCCACATTGCAGGCTCCTAGAACGCCGATGACCCCGATGAGCATTAGGAGTTTCCGAAGAGAGGCAAATGCAGAGTACGAGTTAGACTTGAGAGGGGTCGTTAATACGAAGACCTGGATGTAGAACGCGAACATGACTTCGAGATACCCATTTGGCACATAAGGATAGAGGTTAATACCCCAGTTTTGATATAGAAGTTACTTGAATGACATAGAATATCAACTTTATTAGATGCACCTACCTCAATTGCCTTACTTAATTGCCAACTGCTGTAGGACTGAAGCGTTGAATGAAGCTGTGGTCTATGACCATCATACTCATTATAGAACGCTAGAAGGATCGTTAAGATAGAAAAGGGACTTCATCTCTCGTGCGCCAACTTGGCGGAGAATTGTCCATGAAGTTCATTTTGCGGCGGGATTGAGGATGTCAGTGGACGATTGATTCTAGGCATCGTAGCTCAGGTATTGAGTTGGGTGGCGGTATTTGCTGTTGTGTCTGATGCGAAAAGTCAAAGCCTGTTCGAATCAAGATTATTGGATACGTTCATTCGAGTCTCATAGTCTAAGCACAGAAGCAGCCTGCAGTGAGTTGAAATAAGAAAGGTTCAATTGATGAGATCTTGAAGAACAGGGATTCATCTCGTCGGGAGAGTGAGTGCCGCTCAGCCAATCAAACCGGATCAATTCTCGGATCAAATACGACAAATCATCCGAGACCCCGAAAGCGAGGCCGCGGACCCACGTGCGGGGAGGCTGCCGAACAGCTTTCGAGCAGGTCAAGTCGACATTCTGCAATTCTTCAAGCTCTTCGAGACACTAGATTATGCGTCGACTAATTCAATGCTGACCCCCAGCTACCCCAAACTGATGCCAAGCGACGTCATATGCGGAATGCGCTCGTAGGAATGGACGAGGCCGTCCCACTCGAGCTACCGTCCCATACCTTTCCTAGCCGCTACCCAGCCTAACCGAATCTACGCTCGACGAGCGCCGCCCCACGATCGCGAACCATGAACGCGGGCGAGAACGAGATCGGCCCGGCAGCATCAGTATGCACGGCGTCGGAAAAGCACACGAGCGGCAGTGGCTGCTGCTGCGGGACATGTCGCAAGAACAAGAGAAGATCACATAAGAAGTCTCGCAATGGGTGCCACAACTGTAAAAGGAGAAAAGTCAAGGCGCGTGTCTACAGGCCTCCCCGCGAAGTTGAATCGCTGTCCACCCACGCATGACGCGCAATTGAACTTTAAAGAGTAATCAAGGCTAACTGTGATGGACCTGCCAGTGCGACGAGACCAAGCCCGAATGTGGCAACTGTCTGAGATTCTCGATGCACTGCGACTTCGCTCCTCCGCCCGCAAACCTACTCACCCAATCTCCTACCGACCTGTCGCCACCGGCGCCGCGAAAACGGGGCCGTCCTCGAAAGGACTGGGACGCCGTCCGGAAGTTACCGACGCCGAGTGCCTCCGAATCCGATGCGACCAAGACGCCGCGTACACCGGCCCCTGCAACCTCCGCCGAGCCCTCCTTGTCCTCCATCGCCCCCGCGGTGTTAAACCGAGACGATCTCGAACTCCTGCATCACTACATGTGCCATACGGCAATTACCCTCGGCGAAGCACGTGTATGGCGAGAGTATGTGCCGCGGCTAGGCTTCCAACATCAATATGTCTTTCACATGGTTCTGGCGATATCAGCACAGCACCTCGCTAGACTCCGGCCATCGGAGGCCGCCCGTTACGAGACCCTCGCAGAGCGGCACTCCACCAGTGCCTTACCGGCGATCACGAACCTTATGCCGAACATCAACATAGACAATTGTCAAGCGCTATACCATACCACTGTGCTGGTCTGCCTTTCGACGTTTGCGAAGAAGCCAAGCCCGGGGCATCTATTAGTCGTCGCGGAGGACGGCGAGGTGCCTTGGTGGGGCTTGCTCCGAGGCGTCCGTATAGTCGTCCAGAAGATGGGCATACAGGCTATCATCGCGGGCTGGGAGGACGGAAACATATCTTTCGAACACACCTGGACACACTGTCCGCCACTGCCCGATCCCGTGCACAAGATGGTTGTGTGGGAACAACGGTTCGAAGAGCTTGCCGATCTAGTGGCAACAACCCCTGAGCCGGAACGGCAAATGTACACAATCTCACTCGACTTGCTCAAGGACTGCTTCAAGCAAACATTTGGCACCGAAGCTGAGCCGGAGGCGCACGTCCAGGGCCGATTTGAGGTCGTCATGCGCTGGCTGTATAGCATGAGCGACGACTTTGTAATTCGCATCCAGCACAGGGAAGCGCTATCCCTGATATTGTTAGGGCACTTCAATGTCTTGGTCCAAACCCTCGAACATTTCTGGTTCATGCAAGGCTGGTCGGAGCATCTCATGAAAGGCCTGTTCGTCACTCTACCATCTCAGTACGCCCAATGGCTTCAATGGCCAGCTGAACAGATCAAGAAGCCGGGGTCCGTCGATCATGGCGTACTTTCGGTTCAAAAGATGATTGATTGATGCTATACCTACTTCACGTATCGCACAACACTATTCAACGTATCGATGCTCATTATCAGCCAAGCGCGGCGGCCTGATGGGCTACAGTCAGCGAGCCCTCATCAGTTTCTCGGCAACCTTCCGACAGCATTTCTCAAGGTAGTGAGAGCGCCAGGCCCGATCAGCGTCGACCCCATCGAAGGAAGAGCAGGTGACCAGACGAATGCATCGAGGGCAGGGTGGAGGCTGGGTTCTCTGCACCGCTTCTGGTTCATATTGCGGCTTCTGCTTTCGACGACACGGATTGATGCCGAAATCGTGCAATCATCCACAGTTTGTTGGTTCAAGAAATTGCGCCTGCATGATCTTGCGCGTCCTACGTCAGCCTGCATCCGATCCTGCAAGCACTCATCTCGTCAAGGTAGGTTGGCCGCTTCTCTTGAAGGTCTTTGTAACTGACAAGTAACGACTCCAGCGCGAATTACGAGCAACACTGCGCCGCGGATTGAAGACTGGGGTTTGAAGGATCCGGGATGCCAATCTCGTTGTTGGCAAACCTGGTTGTTGGTAACGCGGTCATGGGTAGACTGCTTCAAGCGTGCTCACACCGCTTCAAAGTCTCCATAGGAATCAGGGGCAGCGTCGTAGGTTGCTGCGCCTCTTCCAATGGCGAGGCGTCTTGTCCTACCTCGACCCAGCGACTCGGAATCGATGGTTATGGGACCAGCGGAGCACAGATCCAGGGACACGGAGCAAATCGGCCTTTGGTGGATCGGATCCAAGCAAGGGTGTGGCAATCATCCTGCTGGGCCCGGTGTCGAAACAATCGAAACGAGTGGTTGGTTTATGTAATTTGTGTGGCAGAGAGACGGAGGGCAGGGCAGATGTTTTTACCCGTCCGTTGGGAACACCACCTCGCGACGAAGTATCCGAACAAGCAAAATGGCGACGGCCGGAAAGCAGAGATCCAGTCCGCGTGGCCACTAGTAGTAGGCCTGCACAAACGCGCCCTTCACACGGCCGTTCCCGCCAGGGGAATACAGTTTCTGACCGCTACTCTGCCGAAACCCCGGGTTTGGTGACTCTCTCACATCTCCAGAATCAGTGCAACTGCTCCTGCTCCTCTGCAACTTTGCGATCACCCCTTCGTGATCCCCAACTCGTCAACCCTGAACCAAGATCGCCCGCATGAACCCCTTGTCACGAGACCGTAGGCTCGGAACAGGAATCCATCGGCTGTTCCACATAGAGAGGGTTCGTCCATTGAGAACTCCCGTAAAAAACCTTAAATCAGGCGGTGAAGAAGTCTATCATCCATCTCTTGAATCTTGCCGATGCAACGCAGGCCTTTCCACGTACTAGAATATCCGTAGAAGCATTCCAGACTCCTGGTCCCTGGATGAGTCTAGCGCTATTGAGCTAATTCTCCGAGGGCACGTCCATAGGATCACCAGTTAAACGACCCTGGACGGTGATCTAGGGCTCTTTGTGGCTCGATTTGAAGTAATGGCACTAGTTCCAGAGTTTTCAAATTCGTGGTAGAAAAGATCGAAATCCTTTTGCGTGTTGTTCGGGTACATGTAGTCGTGGGTTTCTTTGATGCAAGCGCGGACGGTTGGCTCCCAGGCCTCCCCTTCGACGCCAAGCGAGTGCGCAAGTTGCCAGAGCAAATCAATACTCGTTTTTTCACGACCAATCACAAAGAGACTATTCAGAGACGATATTGAACAGTCTTTGCATATGAAAAACGCTGAGTTGAACATCGTTGCTGGGTTCAATCTTCCCACGTAGTGAGATCCGATGCCAAAATCCTGTCCCAAACCACCCGTGAAGCCATGTCGAACGACCACAACCCACCCAAATCGCCTCAAAACGATTGGAAATCAATCTATGGCTTCAAGAGACATGTTTGCTTTATTTTGGACCCCTTTTACATTCTCAATTGCGACCAACGGCACTTGTTGGCGGTGGCGGACGGGGCCGGGATGCCCTGATCGCAATTGCGATCGAGGATTGCTTCTTAGTCGTAAGCCGCCCCGTTGAGCCATGGATCGACTCCCTCTTTCTCTCTCATTCTGAATTCACTTTCAAGAGTGTTCTCAAGTTGTTCACGACTCTTTGTTGCCTTTTCCCATCATCTAGGATCCGGTATTTGCGCGTTTGTGTGTAGTTCCGGGTTGATGGCTGCTCTCTATGTCTATCTGACTTGATTCGAATGGTGCTCAACAACACGCCAAAGAGGTGAGTTATCCCCAATCGGGTGTAAGCCGGACCATATCCTTGGCCATGGAACTACGCTATAATCATTGAGAGTTGAACTAACTTTGGCGATTCGGTCGAGGGTAGATCTACAAGATCGCAGGGTCATTTTACTCGGCAGCAACAGCCTTCATTTTCACTCGGCTCGGTTGTCAGCAGCGACCCAAAGTACATTGGACCAAGCAACAGACTCACAGAAGCCTGGGTTCGGGAACAGCAAGCCACATTTCCGGCAAACCTCATCAAGCTCTCCGAGCAAGGATTCAAAACCGAGGCCAAGGTCACTGAACATCGTGTTCAACGTATTTATCAGATAGGAGAAGAGGTCACAGAGAACCTCGCAGCGTTTCAGGAGCCAAGAAAACCACACTTTTGGCCATCTAGTAATCATGGGCGAGAACAGCAAGCGAGTCCGGCAGCGAAGCCGTGAGTCTGTCACTCACGGCAAGTCCAGCCAGGTCTTAGAGGTCAAGCGACCCAAACTTAGCACCAATGTCCCAGTCGATGTCATCCAACAACCTACTCCCCAGTCACCAATGGGCTGGTCTAGCATGAAGGACTTCCTCATGACGGAGCTTAGGAGGGAGATGGGTCTACCCCTGCATCGTCACCAATCCAAGGACAACGTTGATGAAAAGAGCGTCAACTTGGCCTGCCCTCTTTTTATCAAAAACCCGGCAGCATTCACTCATGTACGAAACTCCTGTACTGATGGAAACATCAAGGGTGGGATCGGTAAATTAATGTGAGTTTACCACCCCTGTCCAAGTCATGCAGGTATGGCGTACTGACTTACCCAATCCAGCGAGCATATCAAGCGAGTTCATCTGAGAAGTGACAAGCAGTGCCATCACTGTGGAGCCCGATTCGGCTCAAAGCCAGCGGAATCCAAGTCATCACACTCGCGCAGCTGCAACAAGGTGTGGTCACCTCACGAACCCCCCCTGCTCTCGGAGGACCAACAACGTGTTCTGGAGAACATTTCGGTGCGGGCAAGTGGGCAATCGCTCGACTATAAGTATCGCCACAAGCTTCTGATGAAGCTCTACCCCGGTCAGGAGGACTGGGCGAAGAAAGTGGAGATTTGTAAGTTGACTCAAGCGCACTTACGAGTAGTTGACATGGCAAGCTAACTCGATGACACAGACCACGACGCCTATTCCCCCTGTCTTTTGCCTACGCAGCTCATGTTCGATGCGATGGAAAAGGCCGTTGACAGATGGGAACGGGGATACGCCACGCACTACGACTCTGACGGAAGCGATGCGGACTCGGAGAGATCTCGCGAGTACCGAAGACTCTCCGGATCCAGCCCGAGTGCATCATCAACAGATGCCTCGAGCGCATACCCGTCTGCGAGCTCCGGTGGATACAGCCGGACTATTGGAAACGGCAATGGATACAGCTCGCATACTTATCACAACTCTGGCTATCAAGACCAGAGCTGGGGCATGGACAACATGTCTCTTGCCACAGCCTCTACACAACACGTTACAACGTTTGGCGCCACCTCTTCATCACACGGCTCTCGGAAGACCCGATCAAAGAGTCGGCCCGTCGAGGCTAACTACGCGGGCATGCAGCTCCCAGCGGACTACCAAACCTATTCTCACTCCGGCACAGTGGACGACTTTGACAGCCTCGACGCCTCAGGCTTTGAAGCCTTTGAGCCCGTTTTCGACGTCGTATCAACTGTTCCATCCGACTACCATTCTTACACCATGGACACTGACCAAGTCCTCCCCTTTGATTACCCCACTCAAGGTCACTACTCAAAAGACACAATCAACCCCAAGGACATACACAACACTTTGATCGGAATGGGATCGGCGACAATGCCGCGGTATCTGATGGATAACGAGGAGGATTCTGGTATTATACTGCAGGATACTCAAGAATATTTGGGCTTTGCCGGTCAAGCCAGGAGGTCTCATAGATAGGCGGGGTTTGGGCTACACTTACGACGCTTACGACGGAATGATGCATAATGTCACGGAAACTGACTAGGTTGGGCGCCGCGGCTAAAGGGTGCCGTAATTTACTTTGTATGAGTGGCAAATTAGTATCTTGCTATCCTAATTTCAACATCTTGCTTCTTCATCTTGCTTCTTCATCTTCTGCTCGCCTCCTATGACTTCCCTTGTGTGTCATGGAACATTTCTGCTGCTTGCCTAAGCTTCGTACGAGGATATATGTGTGTCTTTCGAACCCTGAACCCGTCACATTAGGATCAGAGATTCCATGCCAGAAGCATGGTCAATCCGAGGGAGAAAGACATCTTGAGATCCATTCCAAGTTGCCTAGCTCCTGATCCTGGCGTAGCCGTAGTCGAGGTAGTCGAAATCGGCGGAGATCCTCCCGACGTGCCGCTCGAAGAACTGCCAGAGCTCCCGCCACTTCCAGCAGCCTCGACGATCGGTGCCATGGCATCCTTGATGAGTAGATTGGAAACCGCAGCCAGGACGCTCAGACCTTCACCGATGCCAGTGGTGTTGTCGGCCGTCATAGGGTCGACGAATTTGCCGCTGGTCCAGTAGAAGCCGCAGCGATTGCTGACTCCTGAGTTTCCAGACTTGCATTGTTTGACTGCAGCTTCAGCGGAAGTCTTCAAGACTGGAAGCCACGTGTTTGCCAAGAAAGGGGCGAGTTGCGTGGCCGAAGAAAGCCACCGGTGCACAAATCCTTTGTAGAAAAGGGCGTCGGTGGGACAGTGACCCTCGGCTGATTCGCAAGCCGATTCAAATATGACGCCGTCAGGGAAGAAGTCTTTCAATAGAGTATCGGAGAGACCCACGGCACGGTCACGCCAGATTTCGGAGCCGTTTGTCTACACCGATATTAGTCTTATGATTCTCTGAGTCTCGAGCCTTGTGCTCGGATAGGAGAGCTTACGTTATTATACATGAACGCTGCGCCTTGAATGATCATGGCTGGTGTGTAAGACCACTGGGCTTTCCCGATCTTGGTGCAGTTGTTCTCTGCAAGTGCCCCGTCATACACCTTCCAGTTACTGGTGTCAACAAAACCGACTCCAGTGAGCCAGTCCCATCTCTTGTCAGAGTATTCCGAGTAAGTTGTGTTGCCAGTAAACCGAGCAAGCCGGGCCCCCAAATTGAAAAAACACGCATTGGAAGCCGCTATGTGAAGTTAGTCTCAACTGCACTTGGTCTTATCACAAAAACAACATGACTCACTATGCTTCCATTCATATCCTTTATTGGATAGAGGAATCTGCCA